TAGATAAGTGATGACTACTGGTTTGACCGCAAATGTGACACAAGGCGGGGGGTAATGATATCAGCTTAAAATGAATCGTGCCACTAGTGGTTACTATAGCAACAGAAGGTTCTGCTAGTGGCACAATAAACCTTATGGCGACCTTTACTCATAAAGCACCTTTAAAGAACACAAAAGCAGCACATCAATAAACGGTTATGAAATCGAGCCAATAAACAGAAAGGAGTGAGAGCTATAAGTAGTAAGAGGATAAATCCACTGTGAGGCCAGTCCTTTCAGTGCAATGCAGATCAGTACAACTTAACCATGAAGTGCACCCCCAAACATATCATATAGTAGTCTGAGTAAAGCTGTACATTTAGGTAAGGGCTACTGCACTGCATTACTTTGAGCTAAAGGACCATTTTAGTTTTTATGATCAAAGTAACAACAAACTACATGCATGAAAAATGGAAATAAAGTGACAAAGACATTCAAAATAAAATGCTACTAAGCTAAGACCACATTCATTATATTGAGTGATTCAGTTATTGATGTGTTCATCACATTATTGTCTTCAGTGCACTTTGATTGGTCAGTCGCTACAACAAAATGGCTCCTCAGACTTCTTTGTAAGGACATGAAATAAAAAGTAGGTGGAAGCAGGCAGTGACATGATGGGGTGTCTCAGTATGATAATCAAAATGCATATTGACTCTGTAATGCTATTAAAAAAATTACCTGTGTTTTAGTTGTGACAATCCCTTCAGTCCTGCTAGTAGTGCTAGGTAAAACAGAAGTGTGAAAGAGATGTTACGGAGCTCTCGCTGCAATGAAACCTTTTCCTCAGTGATCCGAAAGTAGTCAAAGTCCAGTTAAAGTTTTGTAAACAGTAGTTACAGTGGTAGTGTGACAGAATGGTAGCCACTGAGCAGGACCATTAGGAAGACAGCACTTTGTATAAGCGGCTGCAAACTGAACATAAGAGTGAAGAAAGATAAATATATTTGCTCCTGTTTGAGTTTTGAATGTCTGCTTCAAGGTGAACCAGGCTACAAACTGTCAGGCTGCAGGTAGTTCATCTGATTTGGTTGTGTTTTTTTTTATTATGTGAAGTGTGTCAGGCTGAGCATCTGGTGATCTAGATGGAGAAGGTAACTTCTGCCTCAGAAATGTAATCTGATGAAATGGTGCCATCTACGGACGACAGTGTGAATCACGGATCGTGTGGGACAGCTGCTATTTTCGACAATTTGAAGATGCAGATGGTTTTTTTGAATGACATTGATTGGATACTGGCTACTTGCCCAGGCTGTTGGCCTGGGGAACCGTGACCACAACATACCTGCTGGCATATTGATTTTTGCTATTTCAAGCCAAGGCTACAGAGCTAATTGGAGAGGCGTTGTGTGTGGTTTTTCAGTTCAGCTGAGGCAAAAAAAAAAAAGAACTGTGAACACAAGCAGACACAGTGACCCAGTCAATACATCCACTTGCACAAATTAAGTTATTTCTTGATCACAGGAAGCCAGTACAATTGAGTGGGCAAAACGACAATAGCATTGTTTCCCTGGGGAGACTGATGTTGTAGCCTCAAGGGGATTTTGAAAATCAGAATAAGCAGCATATTTATTTCAAAGACTCTTTTCCCAGATAACGTTGATGATTCTTTTATCGGCTTTACTTTCGAGCTGCTGAGTGTGCATCACATCACTTACTTCACCAGCTTTTATAGGCTCCTGTACTGCTGTATATGCAACTACAAACAATGCAATCTGTATACTTTGTGTTTCATCTCAGTAATATGGATGTTGTTGTGTCTTAACAGGCTGCATCACCAGAAGTACTGCAAGAGCACAGCAATATAATGGACTGATAGCACAGTTACGGGTGGCGTGTATACAGTCTGTGTGTAATCGAAACTGCCAGCATGTACTGTAATGGTGTGCAGAGAAGAACAGTGCAAAGTCACTAGATGCTCGTTTTTCTGGGAGTTTATCTCTATTTTAAAGGGCATTTTTGGAAGGTCAATCTATTCTACAAGTAGGCCAACAGTAAAGTTGAGTTTGCGTGCATGTCTCACTAGTGTCCCAATTGCACTTCTGTTTCACTGTGATCTCACTCATACACACGGCGTTCGCCCTGGATAGATCCTTGGATTTGGGACCGGCCTGCTGGCTCCCTCCCTCTCTTATTGAGCCAGATCAGCGGGGCCTCGAGATGAATCATTAATGACCGCTTCCAAAGGCTTAATGGCCTCTAATGTCCTGTAATGATCTCCCATCAACGCCAGGTGCGCGGCCTTAATGGATCCAATGCCGTGGAGGATTGTCTGGTTTGAACTTCGGTAATTCCTCCTCTTTTCGTCGAGCAGCGCACATCAGGAAGCGCAAAAAGCCATGAGCACAAGGCTCTGGAGCTTCATGGGCGCAGCATGAGTTTCCCTATCCGTCGATCGACCTCAGGTAGGACCACAGGACACCAACTCGCATTTGGTAATCCTGTCATAAAATTTTTATTAGGAAGCCGCGCGGATAAAACCCAACTAATGTGGTTTGGGATTAAAGTGTTTTAAAACTGGAGTGCACAAAGAACTTAATATTTTAATGATTTATGGATATTAATTTTCGACATTACTTTCTCAAAATATTCAGCTTTCTATGTTATAAAGTCATGTCAAGTGTCATATAAACGCAGTAAGACGTGTTTAACTCGGGTCAAACTTGGAGCGCTGTCCGTGGTGCTGAAGGCAGCGCTGGGCGCGCCCTTCTGCCGGATCTCCCTGCAAAGCACCAAGACACTTTTATCAAATCATCGCTAGGACCTGCGCTTTAACTCAAGTCTAGTAAAACTAAATGTTTTTGTTCAGAAGCCCACTTGATAAATAGTTCATCTTTAACTTTGACTTGTGTGGGTGACCTCCAACCACGAGTTTTTGGTGTTCACAACCCTGACTGTTTTCTTTCTTTCTTTTTTTTTTTAAACAACTTAATGCCCCCAGAGATCCATAATCAAGTCTCAGCACTTTGCACTTGGACTAATACCTTCACTGTCACAACCCAATCTTATATCGTTATAAAAAAAAAATCAAAATAAGTTTTACCAAAATGTCCGAAATAAATCACGTAAAACTTAAATAGCCTATGTGAATTCCGTGGTTCTTCAATGATACTTAAAACGTTGGCTATCACACTTCTCTTTGCTGTAGTGTTTAACTCTACTGCCACATGCTGCTGGGTTCCCATTATCCTGCTCAGACTGAGAATCGCTCACACCAACTCTCTGGGTGTCAGTCGCTTTCCTCTGGCCCATGTTGTTAACTTCCTAAACTATCTGTAGAGGACGCCACAGAACTTCAACAAAACCTTACAGAAGTTTACTTGCTGTTAACCACAGACCAGACTACAGACAACAGCTCAAATGAATCCTTTTACGCTTTTCCCCTGTTTGTTTTTACACAGGTACATGCAACAACCCAACACCTTAAGACTGCTATTATGTTTAAACTTACATTTTCCATTCTAATTTCTTTACACTTTTAAAAAGCTGTTCTTTGTGCTGTCTGGCTGCTTCAGTCTTTAATGGTCTTTAAATTGATTGAGCATTTGATTTACTTGTTTTCTGTAACATTTAATTTTATTATTGTGCTGATTTAATGGAAAGGGTGAGAAGTGGCAGCCCTTAATGTTCGTCAGAGTCACGCTGTGTCTGGTTTACCCTGCAGCTTGTATGGTTACATGATATTTCGTTAGCTTGATTGTGTGGCTGGCTGTTGCTTTTAGTGTCACGTGATGTGGGTTTAAAAGCAGGGACCTCATAAATGAAAGATGAAGGCTTTCAGTCAATTCATTACATTGGTTATACATGTTTGCATTCATATTTTAATGTTTTAGATCATAGCTTGGCTAGGAAATCTTTTACAGCTCAAGTTTCAGGGTATAGCATGCAAGTCAAACTGTACAGTAACATTTAAACTATACATGTCTGTACATTTATAAAGGTCTTACCTAATGAGAAGGCGATAGATGTAGCTGCACCTCCTTTAGTCAAGGACACTCCACTTCACTGACCAGGTCTTGACCTCAGTTTCTGTGCAGTCCATCACTTTGTCCTCCACTCACTGGCTTGTTCTCACAAAGCCTGTCTCATCATCAGTCATTAATTCACCACTCAACTTTCCCTCCTGCAATCACTTTGCACGACCTTTTCCAGTAGAAAACACACTGCCTCCTGTTCGGGTGCCACGACCTCAGTTTCTTCTACAGCCTCATCTTCCTCCATACTAACTGGAATTGCAGTTGCCATGCGCTGTTGCAGCTGTTTTTGGCGCCGACATCTGTGCATCTGTTTCCCTGTGGGGGCTGCGTGTGGCCAGACAACACGTATGAAGGGGCTGACTGCTGCTGTATGTGTGCCTCTGCTCTGGTGCTAATAGGAAATGAACTTCTAGAAAACAACTCCAGACTGTCTCCATTATTCACCTCCTTGCACACTGCAGCCTTTCAGTAGCAGTGAACCTCTGCACCAAAATAAGAGGATCGCGAGTCCCTCCTTTCTCCCTCTCTCACTGTCACACAGTCACCAGGTGCCTCTCTGCTCCAGCAGACGTCCTTCACCTGCTTTACCTTCCTCTATTTCCCTGTGAAATATTCCCTTCCTTTTCCAAGGCTTGCTCCCCGCCCACACACAAACAGTATAGCACACTATGTCTCTTATTCCTTTGCCTATCTTGATTTTATTCCCATTTATTCCATTCATCACTATTTCCAAGCCATTTGTATGTTAAGTATTTGGTCAAGCTTCTGCCTCTTTTTGCTCTCTCTGTCTCACACACGCACAATATCATTGTCTCCCCCCCACCCCTTTTCCAACATTCCCCCTCATTCATTCACCTGTCTCCTTTTGCTATCATTTCGTTTTTGTAAGCACTCCCCCATATTACACCCCACCCCCACCCCTGAAGCTCAGTCTACCTGCCTATCACACATCAGTATCCAGTGTAACATGTAAATATCATGCCACGTGGGGTTCAGAGCTACAGGTGCCTGACGAGAATGCTGTCCAAACACCCTTCATCCTAACCCTACCAGATCCCCCTCCTCCCCATACACAGACAACCCCCACTCCCCCGGTCTTCCTCTGGGCGGGCAGGGCTGCAGCAGTTCTACGAACGGCACGGCTGCATCATGAACACTTTCCCACTGAACCAGCCCCGTGGTGTTTCATTGACAAACATTCCGGTTGCTGCATTTCTGTCACCAACAGCGTCGAGCAGCGGTGCATCGCCGGGGGAGCGGTGCAGAGCAGCAGCACCAGAAGAAGCAGCAGCTGCAGTGATCATCAAAAACAAGCCCCGGTGTCGTTCGCACCAGCTTACACGCTGTTGATTTGCCACTTGGACCCGGTCCGTCTTCCTGTACGCTCTCTCGGGACAGCCAAGATTCACCTGAGAAGTGTGTGTGGGGTGTCAGACAGCTTTTGCAACCCAGACCCATTGGGGTATGTGAGGCAGCATCATTAACGCTCATCCACTGGTACGTTGCCGGATCTGCCTGACGGCTTCATGAAGCGCCCGGACGCACAGATGGAGGATTCGGGACGCTTTTTACAATCACGGATATCTACGAGGCTGCAACGGACGATGTGTGATGCGAACTAGGCTGTGGGTGGTATAGACCCCGTCCCAGCACACCCCGACCGCCTTATTTGCGAACCCTCCCTCAAACCGGGACGCACAGCCTTGGTGCACTCCACCGGGGGAATATGTCCCGGGCAGCGGCTATCGCCAGCTCCCTGATCCGCCAGAAGCGGCAGGCAAGGGAGCGGGAGAAGGCGAACGCTTGTCGCGGAAGCAGCAGCCCGAGCAACAGCAAAGGCACAAACGAGAAGCCGAGCAAGCTGAACGTGTTTTCGCGTGTCAAACTGTTTGGTTCGAGGAAGAAACGGAAAAGAAAGCGACCACCAGGTCTGAGGTTGGGGGGGAGGAACGTCTGAGAGCCATGGGCTGCACTACCACCTCAACCCTCACCATCATCATCACCTTCACCACCAGACAACACCATTTTCTCTCATCACTAATGCTGGTGCCTCTCACTTGCTCATTTGTCACCTGCTAGTTTCCTTCTGATAGCGGCTCAGGAACTAATCCTGTTGCGTTACATCACATGCAAATAACTTTGTATTTGTTTTAGCAGCAAGTGTCTGTGATAACTGCCGGAGATCTCAGGAAAACAAGATAGGAATTTAAGTTTGAGCTACTCCTACCATCACATTTCATCTGTCGATTATTCTTCGACTTTTATGTGCGCCACTGTGTAGGCTACAGGAATCAGGGACTGGAAATATAAACAGCTTCTCCACCTCTGACACTTCCGCCTTCCTAGAGACAGCTGGATTAGATACATGATACCACAGGGGGTCATAAGGAATGAATGCCGTTAATGTGTCTCCTCTCCTCTCCTCACAGAGCCCCAGTTAAAGGGCATTGTGACCAGGCTTTCCAGTCGCCAGGGCTTCCAGCTGCAGATGCAGCCTGATGGCACCATTGACGGAACCAAGGATGAAGACAGCACCTACGGTAGGACTAACTTGTCTGAACGTACAAAAATGGCCATTTAAATATTTCCATGTATTTTATTTGGCTTCTTTCAAAAGTCAACTTGCACTGCAACTAAAAGTTATATCCATTATCAATTAATCTGGCACGTTTCTTTCTTGATTCATTAATTCTTTCTTTGGCTAAAATGTCAGAAAACTGTTAGAAATGCTCATATTTATATTCCAGAGTCCAAGGTTTTGTTTTGTTTTCCCCCCAGAGTCCAAGGTGAAATCCTGAGTTTGCTTTTTCATTTGGCCCAGAGTCTAAATGCTATCAGCTAATTATCATACAGTACATAAATATGAATCTCCCTCTGCAACATGGGAAATATTCATTTAATTAGTCACACGGTGCATGTCAGCCTGTCTGTGTTAAAACAGTTTCTAGGTAAAAGGAATCATTAAATATGCAATGTTCAAACCCCACATAATGAAAGATACAGGGCTGACCTGAACCAGCAAACAAACGCCTGCTTTATCTCAGTCTCCCTTTCTCAGACACACAAACACTCACATACCACAATGTGTGATTGATATGGCTAATTCAATTCTGTTGTTGTGGTTCAGACGGCAATCACTCTTTCTCATGCACAGTTGGTGTTGCCAGCATCACACATTAATCTCTGCTGCTTCTCAGGCCACCAGCTGCTGTGTACAAAGAGGAAGTGTGTTCTTCAAATAGATCATTACTTTGTACATCATGTAAACACGTACAAACATGCAATCAGTTGCCGACGGTTTGAATATATAATCCTTGTAATCCATGCTTCCGTATAAACACAGCAATTTCTATTAAAAAAAAACGGTTGGCTAATTGAGACATAATTGATTAAACAGTGCCCTAGTCATTATGTCGCTGCTCCAGAGCTTTGGCTGTAAAAACATGCATAACTTTTGTGCTTGCCACCAGGGGAAACAACTGCACATATGATAGAAAGGTTTTGACTACAATAAAAAGATGTATCTGATGTAGCTTTAAATACAGTGTGGAAAAAGCATTATGCCCACAGCTGGATTTACTCAGTTACAACTCTCTAAGCAGCATCTTCTTATTGTACAGGTGTTAAAGTCTACATGAGAGAAGGGTAATTAGACAGTTACCTTCCATTTGGACTTCATTGTGCCCTGGGCTTCTCCTCTCAGACTCCTCTGCGCGTTTTTCGGAGGACAAACATTTCACCTATATAATATATCAATCACAAGAATGTGAAAGACCGTGGTATTTTTACAAACTAGGCTATATGTGGATATATGCTGGGATTTTGTCGATAATCATAAACAGGCGACCTTTTCCAAAAATGTGTCAATAGGATATGGAAACATCATATTTATAAAACAGGTTTTATTTATTGACTTAGAGCTGAAGCATTAAAGTGAAAAGTACACAAACACTGAAATCGATTTTGCAGAACGATTCTGCTAAAGTTTGCCGAGCGCGTTTGCGTGCTGGTACCTTGGCTGGTTTAGTCCTGTCGTGCACGGCTCCTGAAGCTTTTCATTTGTTTCATATTCCGTGCGGTGTTTAGTTTGCAGATGCTGCCGAGTTATCTTTAACAGTAGTCGATTTCCGACATAGTTTTTCAGTCCGTCATTTGAACAACATCCGTCTACTCAAAGCCAAAATGCCTCCATGCGAGTGCGGGTGAGATGCGTCTAGTGACGGCATAAATTGCGACTTTGGCGGTGTCTGAGTTTTGTCTCCTGACACAGGTTGTTCACTCATTATTAACTTTGCTAATACATTTCCCGACAGCAGCGTTAGCTTAACCTGTGGTGCGGCGGTGCAGTACGTGGTCACGTAGGCTGTGCACGCGCCATAACTTATCATACCTGATGCAGTGAACGTGTGGCCTCGGTACAAGGTGTTGTTGATTGTTTGGATGACGTCAGCTCGCACGTCGTTTAAACAGCCATCAGTATATTATCGTAGGCTATAAGTTATATATGGTACGTCCCTAGAACAAAGACATTTCTATTAATAGACTAAACAATGAATCTATTAATAAAAAAGGTGACAGATTAATTGATAATGAAAACAAATAAAAATATGACTAGTTTCATTTGTGATATGATAGAAATATTTGTAAATGTGCCTTCTCTGTTGAAACTTGTCTTTGCCCTTAACAAACCTGCTTGCTTTGCTGCATACCTTCTGATAAATCTTATCTTTTCCATCCCATGTTTAATACTGGGCACTAAATCATCAGTGTAATTCAGCGGCTGTAACGCCTGACTGACCTTGCAAAATAGCTTCTCTGTGGCAAAATGGAGGTGTCAACACACCAGATGCTACATTGATACTGATGAGCTTTTTTTCTCTCTCTGCTTTCCTCTGTGCACTGTGCAAGTGTTCATTTTGTTTGCTGTGTGGGTGTGTGTGTTTAATGTGGGTATATTTCTCTGTGTGTGCATATATAGCTGTGTTCAACCTGATCCCAGTGGGGCTTCGTGTGGTGGCCATCCAGGGCGTCCAGACCAAACTCTACCTGGCAATGAACAACGAAGGCTTTCTCTACACCTCTGTAGGTCACCCCACTCCTACACACAGCATCATCATCACCATCACTGTCATCATTATTACAGGTCATTAGGGACTAAAATGGCTTCTTTGGCTTGGGTTGAGCAATGAAACAGCAACTGTAAGTGTGAACACCTTCATTATCATCCTATCATTGAATCAGTCTTTTAACTACAGTGCTGCCCCGTGAAACAGCTGTCACTGGTGTCTAAGCCTCCTTTATCTGTTGTCCACTGATATTGTGGCTCCTCACGATTGATTTCACATCATCCTCCAGCTTCCGTTTGTTTGCCTCCCTTCAGCGGTTCTTTCACAGGAAGAATACTTTGTGTCCATTTACGCAAGTCTCCTGAAATTTGTTTTCATTCCTTCCCAATATAACATACACATACATCCACTGGTCAGAAGGCAGTGTTGGCTGCAATGCTGTGCATTAAAAGCTTTGCATTAGCTCTTGAGCAGTGATGGTGGGTGGTGTGCAATAACAAAACAGAATCAACAAAAATAACATGTACTTACAGCAATAATAAAAAACAAGGCTGCGAGACCGCCTGATGGAAAGTAACAAAGAGGAAATAGAAAAACCGCGCACACCGCGATGTAATTACAGCCATGCTGCTATGCCTGTGCATGCACGTATACCACCACCGTATCTGGCCCATCAGGTCTGGTCCTGGAAGCTGTGGGTTGTCTTTGCTTCAGTCATAACATTGATATCACTTATTTCATCTCCTCACCTGATATTAAATGTGAAATAGAAAATATTTATAAATTTATACACACAATCCACATTTTGTCATTTGCTCTTATTGAATATCTCGGAAAATCGTATGTACACAAAACTTAATTAAAATTCATACAATATAAATGGATGACAGAGAGGAAAAAAAAAAGCTTATTTCTGTCTTTTTCTGTTTCCCCCGGCAACGTGGACACTATCGCTGTCTCTCAGTGGACTGGTTGGTATTCAAGGGAGTAGCCGGTTGCTATGGAGATGCAGGAATAAGGAAATGCAAATGTCAGCTGTCCTAAGTTGGTGCAGTTTGTTCTCAGAGACTACAGCCTGGCCAAGATAATGATTCCAGGAGCGGGCCATGTGATGGATGAATACACTGATGGCACTATGGAGGAATGACTAAACACTTAAATGTTGCCGTTACAAAATTATTCCTTCTGTGACTCGACTCCTTCTCTGCAGCTAACCCCCCAAACTCTCCATGTCTGCTTAATCATGTACCTAATCATAATGTCTGCTTTCTTTTCATTTTTGTTTTAATATCTGTCACATGTCCCCCTCAGGAACATTTTACTCCAGAGTGCAAGTTCAAGGAGTCAGTATTTGAGAACTACTACGTCACCTACTCCTCCATGTTGTACCGCCAGCAGGCCTCTGGCCGGGCCTGGTACCTGGGCCTCAACAAGGAGGGCGGAATCATGAAGGGAAACCATGTCAAGAAAAACAAGGCCGCTGCACACTTCATACCGAAACCACTGAAAGGTAGGACTAAAGTTAAAGTTAGACTGAAGTGGACTATTTGTCTGAATATTCCAAAACATTAACAACTTTAAACATGTATTTAAATTGCCCGAAAAGAACACTGTATAGGATCAAAATAGATGTTTTATGTGGGTACAGAGCTAGACCTTTTCATGGTGGTGAGTGCATTCCTTCATGTTTTTGAGAATGTATTACTCAAAGCTCAGGCTATTGTCTGAAAAGAATCCCAGAAACATATGGAGAATGTCCAACTTGGAGCAGCAGCTTACAGTCCTCCACCCACTCATTCTCAGTTTCCTGAATGCATCCTTTAAAGGCTGATATAACTCATTGTATTGCAGAGAAACCCGGCTTAGATAGGATCAGTATAGAGCCACAGACAGAGATGAAATCACATTTTAAAGCCTTGGTGTAAAAGCAATAAAGTAACAATTAAAATGTAAAAGTACAGTGTAAATCTACACTATAATCAATATTTCTTCATTAACAGTAGCTCATATGACTATTTGTATGTGAAGGGATTTGCTTGTATTGATGAACACACAAACGGTTATCACCTGACTCTGCTGTTCCCCTCAGCTTTACAGAGCATTTTAGTGTATCGATTCAGTAACACCACTCCCAGCCACCGTAGGCAGCGGTTTTCAGTGAAAAAGCTCTAAATACCCAGTGCACAGCACCAACCTGCAGACACACAAACAAGCAACTAGCTGGTGAACATAGTGGAGCATTTAGCTACTTAAGAGCCAGATATTTCCCTCAGGAATTAGCAGAGGGCAAAACAAAGATAAAAGGAGAGTGGCTATTGGACGTAGATTATCGAAGGGGACAAACATGGCTTCAGATGAATGTTAATGTTGTATGTGCTGGGTGCGTCAATAGCCAACCAATGATAGCTCAGTATTGTGTTACACTTTGTTTCCTTTTCATCCTAGTGGCCATAACACTCAGTTGATACTTTCTTGAAACTATGATTAGTTTATCATTGTTTTATTTTCTTGCTCAAAAATGGTTAGAAATCATCATTTATTATTTATGGAGCATTATATTACATCTTCAAATTTAGCTTTGTAGGACTGTCCCCTCTGATTGTATATTCAGGACTTAAACCTAGAATTAATTAAGTCAAAGTCAATTTTATTTGTATAGCACATTTAAAATCCACAGTAGTTTGCCAACGTACTTTACATACAATAAAAAAGTATTTATAAAACGCACAACCATATAACATAATTACAGGCAGTAAAATAAGAGTGTGTCTCAGAGTGAATTAAAAGTGAGAGAATAAAAGTGAGTTTTGAGTTTGCCTTCAAAAGCAAGGAGAGTAGGTCTGTCTATAGCTAAGTTATTCCACAGTCTAGGGACCACAACTGAAAAAGCTTTTCTCTCATTTTTAACCTGGACTTTGGAACTACTAAGATCATTTGGTTCCTACACCTAATGGGAGCATACAGATGCAAGCGTTCCTGGACACAGGGAGAGGCTGAGCCATTAAGGGCTCTATACTGTAAGTTGTGTATACTAATTTGAAATGAATCCCTAACCACAGCGGGAGCCAGTGAAGAGAAGCAAAAATCGGTGGGATGTGCTCACGCTTGCATTTTCCTGTCAACAAGCATCAACAATTAGATTGCTGACATACTGTGGTTATACACTGATCAGCCACAACATTAAGACCACCTGCCCTAATACCGTGTACACAGGAATCAGTGCGGCAGCTGGCTGGCCCGCAGCTCACTGCGAATCTGGGAATCCATCTGCTTCTATAGTCCTACTGACAGGAAGAGCACGAATGTGTCAACCATTGAGTGAAAAACGTGTAAAAGGAGTGAAAACTGTGTTTGTGAAGACAAGTTAGAGAGAATTGTTTAGGCAAATTCAGCAGCCTCCCCACTCCAGGTGTGCTATCACCACTATAACCGCTGAAAGTTTTTTTTCTTTTCTTTTCTCGTTTTCACCTGTTCTAACAAAGGTTCAAACCAAATGGAATCCTTTGATAAGTACAAATTGAATATATGGTAGCTCAACCTCATCATCAGGGCTGTGCATGATTATTGTCATGTGTGTGTGTTTGTGCAGTGGCCATGTACAGGGAGCCCTCCCTCCATGACCTGACAGAGCTCTCACGGTCAGGCAGTGGCACACCGACAAAGAGTCGCAGCGCTTCGGCCTTACTCAACGGCGGAGGGAAGACACCCAGCAACAATGACTTATCCTAGCCTCTCACCTCTCTCTCTCTCTCTCTCTCTCTCTCTCAGACATACATACACACACACAGAGGTGTACAAGCACACGCACATACATACACGCACGTACACGCACAGATCTCAGGCTGACATGCCTACACATCAGACTGGTGAGGAGGTAGGAGGAGAAAAGGAAGGAGGACAAGAATGTGTTCTTCCACTTAACGGAGCCCACTGTGACTGACTGTGATGTAAATAAATCAAGGACAATCAATCTGTCTGGCTCTGCTGCTCTGGTCTGCAGAGAGAGGACCTGTGAATCTCTTCCCTCGACTACTCATATCACACCCAGAGAAGAAGGAGGGAGAGAAAGACAAGAGGGACTGAGAGTCAGTCAGTCGCACAGTCATATAAACAGACTGTTACAGAGAACCAAAGAGTCCAAGTATTAACTAACTACAGTATGTTATTGCTATGAAAAGGCGAGTGGCAAGAAAGTTCCAGAGCAACAAAGAAAGGAAGAGGGTCTTAATCTATTCTACCGTACATTATGTTTACACAGAGCTCATGGGGTTGTCATATTTTTAAAGATGACGAACGTATTCCTTGTACACTTATAATGACTGATCATTTGTTTGCATGCAGGTGCGCCTGTGTGTATGTGTGTGTGTGAGTGGTCATGCTGTGCTTGCAGTAGGTGTGTCGTGTGTGAATGTGTGCGCACGCATGTGAATTGGTGGTGGTGGTGGTGGTGGGGTGGGGTGGGGGATTTTACTTTTTTAAGATGTTATATATCAGACAAACCTCCTGAGGGCTTTAGCAGGTTAAAATAAGGTTTACTGTATATGCTTCCATGCTTACTTCTTACAAGCAATGCTGTTGTTTATTTTTCTGTTTGTTGTTGTTGCCTCTCGCTGTTTGTTTGTTGTTGCATGGAAGCTTGTGGACCTCTGCTCAGTAGCAGCATGCCGAAGGTCCTGTTTTTTTCTGGTTGTACAGTCATGGCCAAAACTATTGTCACCCCTGTATTTCTGTCAGATAATGCACCACTTCTCCCAGAAGATTGTTGCATTCACAAACTGTCTGGTATTCTCATGTTTATTTATTTTGTTTGCACTGGAACAAAACAAAAAGGCAGAGAAAACAAGCCAGATCTGATCCATTCCACACAGAACTCCAAAAATGGACTGGAGAGAATTACTGACACCTTCAACTTAATATTTGGTAGCACAGCCTTTGGACGAAATAACTGAAATCAATCGCTTCTTGTAACCATCAGCGAGTTTCGTCCACCTCTGCTGGAATTTTGGACCACTCTTCTTTTGCCATCTGCTCCAGGTCTCACATATTTGAAGGCTTCCTTCTCCCAACTGCTGTTTTGAGATCTCTCCACAGGTGCTCTACGGGATTTAGATCTGGACTCATTGCTGCCCACTCCACAACTCTCTAGTGCATTGTCAGAAACCATTTCTGGTGCTTTTTGAAGTCTGATTTGGGTCATTGCCTGTTGTAAGACCCATGACCTCTAACAGAGACTCAACTTTTTGACACTGGGCCCTACGTTGCTCCCCAGAATTCGTTGATAGTCTTCAGGTTTCATAATGCCACACACACAGTCAAGATATCCAGTGCCTGAAGCAGCAGACCAACCCCAAAACCTTAGTGAACCTCCACCATGTTCTCTTCTTTGAAGGCCTTCATTGTTTTTTGAACACAGTAGAATCATGTGTTCTAGCAAAACGCTCGATTTTAGTTTCACCTGTCCACAGGACATTCTCCCAGAATGACTGTGGCTTCCTCAGGTAAGTTTTTGCAAACTCCAGTCTGACTTCTTTGTTTTTGTGTCAGCAGCGGGGTCCCCTGGGTCTCCTACTATAGCATCCCTTGTCATGCAAATGGCGACAGATACCGCGAGCTGACACTGTTGCACCCTGTGCCTGCAGGTCAACTTGAATTTGTTTGGAAGTTGATCGAGGTTCTCTATCCACCATTCAAACAATCCGTTGCAATCTGTCATCTGTTTTTCTCTTTCATCCACATCCAAGCAGATTAGCTACTGTATGTTTAGCACAGTGGACACAGGAACAACAAGATCTCTGGAGATGGATTTGTAGCCTTGAGATTGTCCAGGCTCTTCCACTATTGTGCTTCTCAAATCCTCAGACAATTTTTTGCTCTTCTTTCTTCATGTCCACTGTGGTCCACACGACACAAAAGTCAAGTCACCTGTTGATCGCTACAGGTGAGCTTGAAATACAATTATTTCTGATGATTTTGAAAACGTGTCAATAATTCTGTGAAATCAATTTTGTATGGATTGTATCAGGGCGTTTGGCATTTTTTCTTTGTTTTTGTGTTATTCCAAAATAAACAAATAACAAAAAACATGAGAATACCAAAGAATTTGTGATTGCAACAATTTTCTGGGAGAGGTGGTGCATTATCTGACTAGAAATTCAGGGGTGCCATGACTGTAAGTGTTCCAGACCACAAGAGAACACTAGTGAGCCAATAGTGTCATACCACAACACTAGTGAACCAATGTGAGGGTGTTAGAACACTACTGGACCAATAGTATTACACCAGAACATGAGAGGACCAATGGTGTTGGACCAGAACTTTGGTGAACCATTAGGAGCACAGATTAATTTGATATCTTGGTTCCTGTCGTGGACAAACTAGAAATGCACTAAATAAACTCTTTGTAAAGAAGTGAAATGACTGTCTTGTCCTACTGTGTTCAAGTTTTTTCCCACCTGGGTTTATATCATATTGAAATGCTTTGAGTATTAGAAAGTAAAGTACAAAGTAAAGATAAAGTAAAAACAACAACAACACAAACAAGCAACAAAAAACAAGCTTTAAAGGGTAAGTTCACCCAAATTGCCCAAAACAATCAAGCAAGCAAACAAACAAACAAAAAAACAATTCTATACTTAATATCTCTAGTGGTATACAGATAATCTAATTTTAGTTTTGAGATACAGATAAATGGCGTATGATTTTCTTCATTTTAGGTTTTGCTGTGTTTTTTTAAATGTAATTTTGCACTATAAATGAAAGTAATTTATCTAACTTGTATAGAGAAGAGAGAGAAATCTCAGAAAAATATGGAATCCAGTGAAAACAAAACAAATATGTTTGCTCATACTGTGTACACCATTATGGGGATAGATGAGAAACAGTGCATTTCTGGCCTCTGGTGTTTTCTATCAGATTCTAAAGGCAAAACACCATTAACATGAGGAATCAGTGGCCTGAGGGGCAAAGCGCTCAAAAGATAAACAGAATGATGCAACAGAACTTGTGAGCTTTGTATTAAATTAGTGTGGTTAGATCACAAGTTAGAAGCAGCATGTAGGCTGGAAACACAAACTTAGTCTACATAATATAAACGGTTGACTTCTGGATGTGCTGTTTGCTCTCACAATAGACTACACAGAAGAAATGTGGAAGCTGCTCACAGCCAGAAAAAGATTCAGCTGAGTGGCAACAGCGACGAGACAGGTAGGAACACCTCAGAAAACAAACAATTACTATCACAACCAGTATGGTGATATCTTGCACACTTATCTGGAAAAGTACTTTTTCTGAACACAGCCACCAGATGGCGATTCAGAGTTGTGATGGTGCAGTTTGCTGGATGTAAATGTCAACATTTAAACCAATAAACACAATTAAAGAGTCAAGCAGACAGAAGTTTTTTGAAAAAAATTCACCATTTAATCCCATTTATGTGTGTTTGTTCATATCTTAGGGAAGGTGGACACAGACATTTATCCTCATATGATTCTGCTTTGAGGGGTGTAATGGTTCATTTCCAATACATTTGTGTAATCACAAATACAACAAGATAAAGTGCAAAAGGAAAATATGAAAAAAAAAATACATATAGTAGTTAAAAACCAATAGTTTCACGTTGCAACAAAAACATGTACTCATTGGTTTCAGGAACAGTGTCATACTTTGTATTCCTAATGGACTAATGAAATACTTTTCTTGCTAATAAGCATTTAGAGTAACACTTTATACATGACAGTGTCATGTATAAAGGAATCAAGTCAGTGAGTGTCTTGTCTGTAACTCTAAGCCACACTCTCCCTTTGCTATGCATTTCTATGAAATGATCACATTTTCAGTTTCTGCAGCCCTGTGCAAATGTAAACACACAAACTCACACAAACATAAGTGTCTCATGTTTATAGTGATCCACAGTAATATTGTACTGGTACATGAGTCAATTCTGACATATTTACAGTGGCTGAGACAGCAAAGATTCCACCTGTTCTCTAGATAAGAGGAGAGAAGAATGTGTTAGTCTGTCCTCTTCCTCTTCTCAGTGTCACGTTTCTTCTTCTGTTTCTTTTTTTACACATCCTCTTGTCACAGTTCATCGTTTTCTCTCCATGAATCCATTAGTTGATCCATTCCTCTTCAGTCTAGGTCCCCTTCTTTGACTCCCACTCCTGGAAACCATGAGACCACATAAAGTGAGGAAAACATTCATTTCTGTCTTGTTTTGTCTCTGGCCACATCTCACTAACTGCATCCACATTTCCCTCACTTGTATCTTTTCCGTTTAGTTCTTAGATGTGAAAAAAAGAAGCAAGGAAAAAATGTTAGGAGAGAGGAATCAAGGAAACATTTTAGGGACGTGAGACTTCCTTTCCTCTGATCTTTCATCTGAAACGTCCAGTCACTAACTGGTTTCCTTTAAAGCATGTGTCAGTCCATAAAAGACTTCCACAAAGAATGTTGTGTTTTACTCTTGTTCATGGCTCGACCAGGAAGCTTTCTTGCTCCTCAGAAGAGGAATAAGACCTTTAGGATGTCCTTCAAGATGGCGGACTGGACAACACAAGGAATGAGGAGCAAGTAATGATCAGTTAAGGGAACTGGGATGTATCCTGTCCACACATACACACACACACACACACACACACACACACACACACACACACTTTACCTTTGCCTTCTGCATGACGTTCCCCTTGGAAGAGGTGTAAAGAGATGGAGTGCGTTTACGAAGCTCAGCTGCTGAGTTGACTGGCAGAGTCTCATTGTAAACCTTTTCCACCTTACCTCCCTGTGCCTGTACACACATACCAACACACACAAACTTCAATATCAAACAGATTTCACTCTACTGAGTGTGGGCGATAAGAATCAGTGACATAACATCTCTGCCACGTCATTGTGATGCTGTAGCAGTCTACCTTGACACTGATCTTGGTGTCAGTGGGTGGACCCAGTGCTCCTCTAGCCAGCGACTTCTTCAGGTTTTCTTTGACTTCTGTTAGTCGGAGCTCCAGCTCCACCCTCTCCTCCTCCTTTTGTTTACACAGTGTTTCCAGCTCAGCTAGCCGCTGTTCCACACCATGACCTGCACACACGCACAGTTTGTACTGCTGCTACACAGCTGAATTCTGAACAGTTCTCTGTGTGTTCCTGTGTGGTTTGTTTCTGACCTCTGCCACCTTTCATCTCCTCCTTCACCTCCTTCTTCTCCCTGCGGAGGGAAATCAGCGCAGATCTGAGCTCTTCCTTTTGTTTTTCCAGCTCCTCTTTCTGTGTCAAGTATCGCCGGGCATCCTCTTCTGCTCGTGTCTTCCCATACCGCCCATACTGGTTTACATCTAACACAGAACAAAGCAGAATATAAGTAGACAGAGCAATGCTGGTATAGGTTTATGATGATATCTACCTTGATAAACCTTTGCATTTCACCACTATCATCGTCTGGAGATGTCAGCCAGCTGTGGCTACATTTTCTACCATGAGATTTTCATGTAGCTAGTCTATTGAGTTATCAAATGAGACTCACTGGAAGCATGTCTCTTGATGATGGCCTTTTGTTCTGTTTTTTCAGAGTCTCTGCTGGAGAAGGAGGCATGACGTCTCACCTGGCCTGGCCTGCTCTCAATACCTCCTTCCTGCAGGATGCAGAAAAATCAAGATCACTTGTAACATTTACATAATTTACAGGGTCTATTTTACCAGTACATCTATACAGTACGTGTTTTGGCTGATACTCTGTGGTAAAAACCATAAAGGGAGCTTTGCATCCATCCACAAATGTACACAGTAATATAAGATGTATGATGTTTTTAACATCATACAGTTTTTAACAACAAGACAGAGAAAACTATCATCATCACCCTGTGATGAACATCAGTGCCTCAACATCCTGAACATTTGAAGTTTTATAAAGAATTTAAGGGGGGGGGGGGAGCATTTCGAAGTTCAGAGATTTTGTATGTTATCACTGGTTCACATGATGTTTACCTACCTCAGTGCTTTCATAGACCTCATCATAGGTCCTGGAGTCTGCTGAGGCACTCCCAGAGGACATAGCAGTGGTACTGGCCCAGCTGAGAGGAAAGGCAGGCATGCTTATTATGCCTACCTTTATCACATTTAACATCTTACCATATTCCAATTTATCCATAATTCAAATAAGTACACAATGCATCTGAACATTCAGACACCCAGACCCACCTACAGTATGTGTATATTTCAATACACACATAAATTATATCTAAACATGTAAAACTAAGGAATTTACTATACAACTAGTATGATACGTTCTTGCCTGTTGAATACCTTTCTTTTAAACAATCTAATAAGAGACAGAAAACATGCAGAAACACACAGATATATACTGTAGGAAGTGACTCACAGGAAGGAGTGTCTGGCAGCTTGTCGTATGTCTGTGAGTGTGTCCACGTCAATGTAATCATAGTGCAGCTCTTCAGGGAGCACAGTGCTCCCAGTCTCTGCAAACAACACACCAAGCCAGCGACCGAGATCTTCCGAGCAGCTGGCCTGATGAACACACACACCTAAACCAACAGTATTTGGATTCCAGACAAATGTAGGTGTGTCATCCCTGCACATATTAACTTTCCATTTTCCTGAAAAAACCCCATCTGCCTACAATAACTCTCCTCTACCAAGTTAAATTGTTGAAGAGCTTTTGATACCATAGTAAAGTACCTCTAAAGTTGCCAGTTCGCTGCCTCCCTGCAGGATACGAAAAGAGAAGGGATGCTTGGGGCCGAGGCCACCTGGCACCACTTCTGCCCCTTTGAGCGGCACCACGATGCCTGGGGGCCGTTGGTCCCCAGGGTCCTTCTGCAGGTACAGGCTTCCTGCTCGCACCACGCACCAACGTTCCTTCCGTGAGCCACCCAGACACACAGTGAGGTAGCCTATAGGGAGAGAGAAAGAGGAGGAATGTGAAAGTGATTAAAAGACAAAAAGACAGCAGATATGTTAAGCATCTGTTCTCTGCTAAAAGTCAAAATAAAGTAAGAGAATGTGCCTGTGTTTTTTTTTTGAGTGTAAATAAAGGCTGAAAATGTAAAATCCAACCAGCCATCCATCCCTTATCTATACTGCTTATCCTACCAAGGGTCATGGAGGGACTGGAGCCAATCCCAGCTGACACTGGGTGAGAGGCGGGGTCCATCCTGCACAGGTCGCCAGTCTATCACATGGCTGACATATAGACAAACGACCACACACACTCACACTCACTCCTACAGGCAATTTAGAGTTGTCAGTGAACCTAAGCTGCATGTCTTTGGACTGTGGGAGGAAGCCAGAGTACCGGGACAGAACCCATGCAGGTACAGGGAGAACATGCAGACTCGTCACAGAAAGGCAACGGGTCGGCCAGGGCTTGATCCTGGAATCTTACATTACTGTAAACTTTAAATATTTTTGTGAGTCAGTGATCCATTTATCAGTCACTTAAATAAGAAATCAGCCAGTCAACCAATCAGCTGCTTGATCAGGTTTGCCCTCACCACAGCGTGGGTTGTCATGGTGACCAGAAGACGGAGGATGTTCCCCCAGTAAATGAGGTTTCCGTTTGGAGAAAGTGATGATCCGATTAATTTTCCTCCCCGCTGCTCGGCTCATCGACCCCGTCAGCTCAGAGAAGGCTCCACGCTTCCCTCTGTCTGTAATCAAACATACCCTAGTCAGATTGTGCTGGAGCTGACAATGGGGTCATAGAGTCATGGAGTGCTTAATACACAGTAGGTCAGTGTGGAAAATTACAAAAAAGATAATGCTACCTTATAACTTAAGTATCTTTGTGTCACATCACCAGTATCAGTAATACTTTGTAACTCAAAAAATACACATTTCATCAATTACATAAAAACAAAAATGTATAAAGATGTCTTTTATTTATTCAACCATACAGTGTCTCAGCATACTTGTGTTTATTGTACCAGGTGCAGCATTGCTCTGCCCAGCCTACTTCCTATGATGTCAGTGAGAGACAATAGCAGGAAGAGGGTAGGAAGGATGTCATATCTGCATGTGTCTCGCTTCCTCTCTCTCTCTCTCTCATGTCTCTTTAGGTTCAGAGCTCCTCGGTCAGTAAACAGGTTGTAGCAAGACTGAAACAACATGGCTGTGTTCTCTGTGCTAACTCTAGAGACATCATGGACAAATCTGTGGGGTTGTGTACTGGCAAGAATCTGGCGACATGATACCTATAAATGATACAAGAGTTACGATTCGATATATTGCGATACAACATAGCACTACTTGGCATATGAACTATTAATTAAAAACCGATACTTTGTTTTTGTGATTTGATACAGTATCGGCAAACATATTATTGTGACACTCAAGTGTATCAATACTTTTTACATTCCTACAAATCTGTAAAGATTTATTACACCTTCCACCAGCTACCAACAGCAAACAATCACAGAGACACAAATGTTAAATCTCACTCCTTTAATCTGCAATGTAATGTTGTACATTTTAATAATGACTGATGCTGCACATGTGAGCTCTGCCTTTCAGTTTCTTTCAACAGCAGTGAAAGAAAGAAAAATTACAAGGTAATCAAGAGCTCCTTTAACATTAAACCTACTGAGTGAGTCAGTGGTGTCCCGTCCTGGCGCAGTGGACTGGCTGTCTGCTGTTGGCCCACTGTCTGAGTCTGATGCCTGCCGTTCAGACTGCAGCACCTGGCAAAGGAAATAGGCAAAACCTTCAATACTTCTATGTCTTATGAAACATGAGAGATGTGAGGAGCTCCAGAAGCAAAATAATATATACAGCACATAGGCACACCTTAACACATCAACAAAAATGACATAAGTTACTTTCACTGACTCTGTATTCTTAAAACTATTCTCCCAACATGGGGTGTAACTGCCATGTCAGCACGCGCTGAGCTCATGGACTCTGCAGCTGTGTGCCAAAACTTTGTTGAAGGTATGAGACGCTTTGCAAATTAGCCGGCACAGCATCTGCAGTAATGTCATTTCACTCACTGCTTATAATCTACAAGCTAAAGGAACAGCTGTGTCACGCATAGGCTAATAGAAATAGTGTCAGCAAAGTTAAAATGTGGATACAGGTGCAGAATGAAATGCACCTCCGTAAAGTAAAACTCAGACACAGTGAGAAGCACAGGAAGCCTGCATCTGGACAGATAATCCAAGAAACTTGTGACGGTTTATGGGGAAATCTTAAACCATATACAACACTGTAGATAAACAGGCTGACACTCAAAGACACGCAGAAACATACACACCTTGTCAAGCTCCAGCTTCCTCTGGAGGATGGGAGAAGTGGATCCCTCCAGTCCTTCAGTGTTGCTACATTGGTTGCCAACAGTTTGCACCACCTGGACCCAGAAAATGAGAAATGTTATGTTTTCCCCTCAGCCACTTTCTTGTGTGTCTTTCCCCACAGCACCAGCCTTCTATACAGTGAATAAAATTACCTTGAGCCATCGCTGGGCCTGCTCTTTACTCTGAACAGCCAAGACTAGTGCTTCGCCTCCAGGCAAAGAGAAGCGCAACTCATGTCTCTTTTTCCTGCCCTCCTTAGGGACATAGATGACGTTGCACAGATTCAGCGGGAGCTCAGTGTGGGGAGTGCTCTCTTTGATGCTCTTATAGCACTGTAAAAGAATATAAGACTTGAGTGAAGCAGTAAAGGGTTTGGTCCAGCACACGTTGAGGGATTTTCTGGATGTGCTTGTTTTTTTCTCCAACATTTAACCTTACATAATTCTAGATATACATTAGATCCTTTGGTTTCAGTCATGATAAATGGTCTTATAGTTGTATAGCGCTTTTCTATGCATTGCAGCACAGTCAAAGTGCTTTCACACTATTTGGCACACTCACACACCGGTGTTATCACTGGGAGCAATTGGGGTTCAGTGTCTTGCTCAAGGACACTTCGACATATTGACTGGACAAGCCCGAAATTGACCTGCTAATCCTTCAGTTAGGAAATGACCCGCTCTACCTCCTAAAATCACATTCCCTGACCAGGAATCGAACCTGGGCCACGGCAGCGAGAGCACTGAATCCTAACCACTAGACCACCAGGGAGCCTATCAACTCACCTGCAGTTTATTGTCTCGGACAATGACTAGCTGTTTAGTCCACTGGCCAAAGCGTTTCTTTCGCAACAGAAAGGCACAGATGTGGCAGTCTCTAACTGGTCCATCTGAGCTCTCCTCAGCTGTCCATCTCTGGGATTGGTCCCGACCCTTGGCCTCCTCTTCCTCCTCTTCATAAGACTCATAGGAACTACTCAGAGCATCTGAGTCATTATCTAAACACCCAAAATAACATGGACGATGAATTCACAAAACATCCACTGACAATGTCTGAATTTGTTTCGTCATACTATATTCCATGTACTTAAGGATCAGAAGCATCAGTAAGAAAAACAGCAGAAAGGCAGACTCACAGGAGTTTTTGGGAGGACCATTAATCCTAGTGTCGGGGTAGTTATTGTCTGCATCTTCATAGTAGGCATCTTCCACTGAGTTCCTGGAGGCTACAGGAGAGAAGCGGAAGAGTCAGGATGAGATAAAAAAAACATAAAGTGAAACTTCCCATAATTCAGCTGGGGTACAGTACTGACTGTTCATATTGGTGGTAAAGTACTGAGGCATGGATCCAGGATCCAGAGGAACAGCCTCTTCGTAGTAGTCATCAGGAAGGGGAGTGGTTGGGAGAGGAGGGGGTGTGTCAGTTGGTGTCTGAACAAACAAGGTGAGGGTTAAACCAGAATTTAGGTGAGGAGGAGAAGCAAAGCAGATGAACAGTCAGGTAGATGCTCTAGGTGGCTTACAGATTTATTAGGATGAGTCTTCTCCTGTCCTTCTTTGTGCTCTTTCTGCTCCACAGGAGATGCACTGAGTATGTGCAAATCACAGTCTGGTGAAACAACAAAGAATTAATGTTATCAGAACTATAGGTGTATTTTAAATAAAGGTTTGTCTAGTTAGACAGTCAGTACTGTAAACCTGATTGAAACTGCCTGATTAATTTGATCAACATTTGCTAGGCTTGACAGAATGTGTTAGACAGTTCTGATACTTCAAAACAAGACAAAAAGATATACAGTACAAAGCCTTAATTTAGAGCTGTTTATTCACCCAGTTGCTGGCTCATTGCAAAATGTCAATGGAGGCAATTATCTGAGTATCAAGAACCAAGTGTACTATGTAGATGTTGAATTCTTCTTGTTCCTTTATAATATACTGCCATGCTAGCAGCTGTGAGGTTGTACTAAGTACAGTGATGCTTTGAGATAAATGCTAACATGCTCACAATGACAATCAAGTCTAATGTTTTTCACGAATGTTCACCATAAGATGCTAACATTTACTGGTTAGCACAAAACATTCCCTATAGAGCCAAACCACAAGCATGACAAACAGCTATTTTATAATATACCGGTATGTTTATTATCTAAATCTTGTGATATGATAATTTCTACATACAACTTTATACCACTGAGTTGATTTGAAGGCATTTTGAAGGGTCTGCTCACCAAAGTCCTCAAACAGAGACTCTACAAAGCTTGTGCCGTTGCCATAAAGACAGCTGTTCATGTAGACGTCTGATCCGTTGACTGTGGAAAAATAAATTAGGGTTTAGAAAAAGAATTAGAGGAAGGACTAGGATTGCAGCAATACGCTACAGTCAGGATTACCAGAGTGTAGGCAAATACAGTGTATGGAGGCCTGATTCAGACAACAAGGGAGTGGAGATTGGAGCTTGTAAATATTTGTGCCAGATAAACAAAGATAAAAGTTTGCCAAACCTCCCAGAATTTCTGCAGGTGTTCTGGAGTCAGTAAAAGAAAAGAAACCCTGACGTTTTTGGAAGTAAAAACAGAACTGATATGGATTATGCTGAAAAACCTGAAGTGTGAGCATGGTAGGGTAACAAGGGTCCATTGTAGCATACATTATGTCCATCAAGATGGTTTGCTTTTGTCCTGTCTGTGACCTCCACTCTTTATCCTCTTTAAACTTTACATTTCATTATCTTCTTACATCAATCCCTTTATCCTCTCTCACATACTGTTTTCTCCCAGATAAACCAGGATCTACTGTAAAGACCTCAGTAAGATTTGATGTCACAGAAACTACATTTTGTTGCATGTTTCACACTACTCTGTGTCTTATGCATTGGGATGCCGTTGTAGTCTGACGGGATGACGGGAAGGTTGCAAAAAGATAGCAGCCAAGTAAAAAAAAGAAGTGATCTATTTGTGTCTAAAGTAATGCTGCTGTTGTGACCTTGAACAATTACTCAACTCCGAGATGCCTTGGCTGACCTGTTCCAAGTGTCAAACTGAATTAATGCGAGGCAGGATGCAGCTGAAAAACCTCAAGCATGTTCAGTCGAATTCCCTTGGATAATAAGTCAGTCTCATTTATAGGTCTGCTTCATTTAATCCTTTATACAGTAGCATTCTGTTTGTAGTACAACTTATCTTTCGTTTGTGTTTTGTTTTTGTTTAGAGACACTCTGAAGCATTTCTGTATCAAACCTACAGTGGCTTGAAATTAAAGGCTGCGTCAGTGAAGTGTGAAATGACACGGAAAATGAGTTTGACAAAAGCAATGTAATGCTTTGCTTACTAGATAAACATGCAAATGTTGTTATTTTTGTCGTGTACAAAACAAGTACAAAAATATCTGTACTACAAATAAAACATATTACCATTGTGCTTGCAGTCTTTTAATAAAGTTTAAAGGGGTTTGTCACATAATTGTACAAACTGAAGCTAGAGATGTAATAATAGATGTAGTAAACTTTTTTCTCAATCTGAGACTTTATTCTATACCTGACAGCTGCATTGAGTCCAGGATGTTGCGTATGGAGGCCATCTTGTCAGCAGTGGCCGGACTGACTGTTTCATGGCTGAGCATCTTCAGCAGAGACCCCAGCTCATTCACAAGTCGCTCCATCACCACTGCAAACCACAAACAAAATACAAAACAAGGTATTATTTGGGTTAACAGAGCTACAATCAGGTCATTATAAGGGTCCTAACATGGCTGAAATGCTTCTGCTATTATGCCAAAAGCATCTAGGATCAATTTAACACAAACACAGGCACGGATGGATTACAAAATGGGCGTACTGGGCAAGACCCAGGGGTCTATAAGGTCAGGTGGCCCCTACACCAGAGAACCATGAAGGAGCTGTTAACCTTTCCTGCTGGAGAGTGAATCAAAGGACAACAAAACAACTGCACAAAACCACAAAACATGAAAAAACAAATGCTAAACAACTACAAAGAGATGAAAAACAACTAAAAATAGACCGAACAAGTAACAAGAGGTGCAAAATTACTACAGTGAGATGCAAAATAAGTAAAAATTGACACAGAAGGGCTAATAAAACTGCAAAGGGGCACAAAAAAACCACAAGACGATACAAATTGACTACAAATCACATGATTACTCAATCTGTTTTGCTTCTAGAAGTGTAGCAGATGTAAGGGCCTTTTACACATCTGTGCCCTGGGGCCCATTGTCTCATCTCTCCATGATGCAAGGCCATGCAGACAAGTGCAGGCAGAGCTGGCAATTTCAGAAGGGCATGAAGTCAGTTTGGAACTTAGCTCGCCCCCTGTTGCAACAGCTGAAGAGATGTTTAGCATTGTTGCACATCAGTCTTTTTTCGCTTAAGAGCCTGTTTGCATTGCAAGTTTTCTATCTTTGTTTCCTGTCTGTGCACCACAACAAATCAAATCTTACATTAAGTTAGGACACCTAAAGATTTCTTCTCTGACATCCTGTGATTCTGTGTGTGTGACTATGTGCAAGTTTTGTTGACCTTGACATTGTTCCAAATGCCCTGACACACTCTCACACATCCTGCCTGCTCAGAGCCGACAAAGAAAGGAGAGGGGAAGCATGGCTGAGAGAAAAGAAGGTGAGGAGGAGGGAGCCAAATGCTTCCTTACCTAAAGGAAATGTAGCCAAAGAATACAAAATAATCTGTAGTTCCAACAGAGTTACATGCTGTACAAACTACCTGCAGCACTTGATTAGGTCATTTCTCATTTGTGACAGAAGTTTGAGAGTCAGACATTTAACATGGAGGGTGATAGTCTGAGCCTTAAGCAGACAGCTGGTGGTGCAATAGTGTTACCGGCTGATAGAGTATTGGCCTTTAATTAAAGATTTAATATTGGCCAAAACGTTAAATTACTATTCGTGCCGCTGAACATGTGGAGTGTATCATTCTCATTTTAATAACTGCTAAACCAAAAACTAATTTATTTCAGTTTGGGGTTCAGTGGAACTTTGATGACCCATATGCTGTTGAGTGGCTTTTTCCATTCTGCCAAGAAAATATTTCTGTGTTTTTCCGGCATTAAAATTGTCAAATTTACAATGTTATTTCACCTAAAAAGCAAAGGAAGTTCAAGGACACAGATGAAACCTCAAAATGGGTCACAAACCTCAGTTTATAAAAGCTACTGTGATGTCCACTGAGAAAGCAGTTTGTTTCCTTTTTAAAGTTTATCTTGGAATAATTTTTAAAAGGTCACATTTGGCCTATTTTCATTTTTATTTGGAAGAATTATAACAATATGCCATAACTAATATAAACTAACCAATCTCGCTGTGGTGACTAGTCAGATATAAAAATGTACTAAAAATACAAAACATGTAGTTTCTTGTGACATACAGTATTGGCAAAATTATGACTGAATAAATATATCTGCTCAATTAGGAAATACATAATCTGTAAACAATCTGTTTTTCT